ATGGTCTGGAGTTCTTCGAGTGACCCCGAGGCGGACACCACGGATCGTCAGATCGAGCTGTACCGCGGTAGTGATGCAGAGTCGACCTCTCGTGAAGAAGACCCGAGTCGTTTCGTTGCTCGGGAAGACGCGATTGCGGATGTGGCTCGGGATCAGGATTTGCCCGACGATCCCGAGGCGATGTTAAGTAGAAGGGGGGTCCGTCCACCGGCAGCTGGTGAGGCTGGAGTCTCGTGCTGGCAAAATGCACCTGAGGCGCCCCCACTTTCTATTAAGGCCGAGGAGATTCACTATGATTCTGACGAGGCGGCCAGGTTGCTTCAAGCTAAAGTTCAAGCAGCCAAGGGTCAACGGAAAAGAGGACGAGCCAAGAAAGCGAGGAAACCCGATCCCCCGGGTTCCACCTTGTGCACGGAGGATTCCCTTCGGGATCTCAAGGCCCGATTTGGCTTTAGCGAGGGGGTTGAACTGAGACTTCCTACTCCGAATGAGCGAGCAGATGATCCGCCCGAGGGGTTTTTCACTCTCTATGAGGGGTTCTTTTATCACTGCTACCTCTGGCTTCCGATTCCGAGGCCTATATTGGCGTTTCTCTGGTCGTATAAGATTGCTTTGTCTCAAATCACAACCCGAGGCCTGCGCCATCTTATAGGGATTCTGGTCCGAAGTATCGAGACGGTAAACTTTGTTGACCTTAGCCACCTAAGGCATCTGCTAGAAATCCGGCGCATACCGGGTCCCGTTGAGAGGTTTTACATTTCTCCGAGGTTGAATAGGAGGGTTATCGGTGGTTTCCCGAGCAAAGACGAGAAGTATACCGATAACTTCTTCTACGTCGCCTTGAATGATTATAGTGTCCACGAGGACTACTTAGGGAAAGTTATTGGAAAGTGGAGCAAAATTGGTACTACGCCCGAAGCCGTACTCGCTGTTTTGTTTTGCTTTGATCTTTTTACTGACCGTTTTTCTTGTTCATGTAGATCGAAACCCGTCGTTTCTCGAAGACGTTCCCGAAGGCTTTCTGGACCTCCACGACGAACTAGTAGCTCGGAAGTGTGATTGGACGAAACACTTTTCTCAGGAGAGAATTGAGAGAGCCTTGCGTTTGCTGCACGGAGCTCCCTGCCAGTCTTCTTCGGAATCATCCGACCATCGTCTAGATCACCTCATTGAAATGCAAGGAGCCGCGCAGTCTTTGAGGGCGAAAAAAGCTGCCGAAAGAAAGGCGGCCGAGGAAAAAAGGGTTTTAGAGGCGACTTTCAGACCGCCAACTCCCCCTGAGGTTAACATTATTCCGGAGGTTGCTGAGGATGCCGAGGCGACTGAAGAGGTTCGGGTCGTTGCAGATTTGTCCAGACCCGAGGCCTCTGGTGACATTCGGCCGGATGTGGAAGTTCCCGAGGCAGTAGGATCTTTGGCGGTCGTAGCTCTGGGTGCTGAGGCGAAGGCTAAGGCGAAAGGGAAGAGGCCCCGAGGTGATAGCTCGGGAGGACGCAGAAAGGAGAAGAGGAGCCGCAGTGAGGTTCCCATCTACAAGGATAAGATAGCTTCGGCTAATCTTATCGCCTCTTGTTCGGGTCCGCCGCTTTCCGCTCCCGAGGCCTTGCTGGAGGCGCAAAACTATCGTGAAACCGCTGCTGGATTTCTGAAGGTACCGATTCATTCCTTGCGTGCTTTTTTTATCGTTTTCATACGTGTTTGCTGAAGATTCCCGTTCCATTTCAGGCCTTCAACTCGATGAATTCCATGGTTAGGGCCTACGATTCTGGAGCTCGGAAATCCGAGCTTGCTCGTGAAGAGTCGGAGATCTTCCGAGCCGAAGTTGAGGCTAGGATTGCCGAGGCGATTGCGGCTAAACAGGAGGCCGAGGCGTCGGCCAAGGCCGAGAAGGTGGAGCGGTTGAAGGCTTCGGAGGATAGCCTGCGAACTCAGGGAAAGCTCGAGGCTGAGATCGCTCGCCTACATCGGTTATTTACCGAGGAAAAGGCTCTCCGGGAAAAGGAGATTGTCAGGGAAAGGAAGGCAGCCAAGAGGGAGTTTGCCGAGAAGGTCAGGGCTATCGAGGCGAAGATGGACCAGTACGGGAGAGTATCCGCGCGCTATATGTACTTGGTGCAAGCGCGGGCAAACGCCGAGCTGATAGCCGAGCTAGAGGACGGGAAAAAGGTTGAGGATGAGAAGGCGGAGGTTCTTCAATGGACGGCTGAGTATGGAGATGCCGAGGAAGAGTACGTCCGTCTCGGGACCGAGCTGCGAGAGGATCTGAAGCTTCCACCGGTTTCTCCGGATTCTGTTGGTAATAGCTTCGGGAACCGATCGATCGAAGGCACCGCAGCCGCAGTAGGTGTTACTGACCAGTCGGGTTCCAATCAGGATACCGAGGCAGCTCAAGTTTCGCCGGTTGTCCAAGATTTGATCTGATCCCGAGACGTCTTTTTATCCTCTCTTTTTTTTTGTTGTAAGATATGCCTGGACGGCTTTATCCACTGAATATTTAAAGGACCTTTATCTTAAAATATTTCGAGTTGAATCTGATATCACTTGTCAAATAAACGGGTCTATGACTTGCTTGTCGAGAAGTTAAAAGTTTTGCCTAATAATTTCAACTTCCGAGCCAAAAACGAGAAAGATTGTTTACCAGTGTTAAGTAAACCAGGCTTATGATTTGCTTGTCGAGAAGTTAAAAGTTTTGCCTAATAATTTCAACTTCCGAGCCAAAAACGAGAAAGATTGTTTACCAGTGTTAAGTAAACTGGGTTTATGATTTGCTTGTCGAGAAGTTAAAAGTTTTGCCCAATAATTTCAACTTCCGAGCCAAAAACGAGAAAGATTGTTTACCAGTGTTAAGTAAACTGGGTTTATGATTTGCTTGTCGAGAAGTTAAAAGTTTTGCCTGATAATTTCAACTTCCGAGCCAAAAATGAAAAAGGTTGTTTACCAGTGTTAAGTTAACTGGGTTTATGGTTTGCTCGTTGGGAAGTTAAATTCAAATGTTTTAACTTCCGAGCTGAAATACATGCCAATGTTAATGTCACTGGGTTTTTGTCATGTGAGACTTTAATCTTTATCGGTTGCGACCCGAGCTGATATAGTCGATGCCAGTGCTTAGAAGCGGACTGGGGCACCAGTGTTGAAGTCAACTGGGTTTTCTGAAGACAATTTCTTTCGGCAGGATATCTCCGACCTAATTGTCTCGAATGCTTATATAGCGCGCTGTAACCGAAGTGGTGTAACGAGCTCTCTGTTCGTGGACGTGGCCATCGTCCGAACGAACTATCGGCTTGGGAGGTCGATAAGGTGACCGTAAAAGTTTCCGAGGCAAGTTTCGGGTTTGATGTCGAGGCGAATAAAATTGAAAGTCCAAAGTGTAGAACTTTAAAGGAAATTTGTTTAAAAAGTTTTAAGTGGGAGTATATATGTATACGGACCCACTCCCCCCCCTTTTTAATTAGGGGGGGTAGCTGAACTCGTCCGAAGACGAGCTGCCTACGTACCCTTTTCAGGGATCAAGCCACCCCGTAGTTCGAGTACATGCGTACCTTAGGTTCTTAGCGATAATACTTCCTGAGATGCATTGCGTTCCAGGATCTGGGTACCGCTTTGCCGTTCATGTTGATGAGTTCGTAGACGCCGGGACGTACGACCTTCGCGATCGTGTAAGGTCCTTCCCAATTTGCTCCGAGCTTTCCAGCGTTTAGCTCGGCAGTGTTCTGAAAAACTTTGCGTAGTACGAGATCTCCTTCGTGGAAGCGGCGATGCTTAACGTGAGAATTGTAATACCGAGCTGTAGCATTCTGATAGTTCTGCATACGGACCAAGGCTGAATCTCTTCTCTCGTCGATTAAGTCCAGTTCGTCCAGCATCATCTGAGTGTTGGAATTTTCCTGCTCGGGGAGCAAACGTCTTCTTATTCCCGGGATCTCGGCTTCGGTGGGAATCACACACTCCGTACCGTAAACGAGGGCGAAAGGTGTTTCTCCCGTGGCTCGCCGCGGCGTTGTTCTATGCGACCATAATACTCCTTCCAATTCGTCGGCCCAGCGGCCTTTCTTCGCGTCGAGGCGCTTCTTTATTCCGTCGAGAATCGTCTTGTTTGCTGCTTCTGCCTGTCCGTTTCCCTGAGGATAGCGAGGCGTAGATTTGCTGAGGCGAATACCCCATTTCTCGCAGAATCCTTCGAACCGAGCCGAGATGAATTGCGAGCCATTGTCCGTAACGATCTCGTAAGGTATCCCGTGGCGGCATATGATGTTCTTCCAGATGAAGTTCTCGACCTGCGCGTCTTTAATGGATGGCATAGGAGTCCGCCTCGATCCACTTGGAGAAGTAGTCTGTTAGGACGAGGACAAGTTTCTTCTGCTTGGAGTTGTGTAGAGGTCCGATAATGTCCATGGACCAGCGCATGAAGGGATAGGGCGAGGTGATAGAAGAAAGGAGCTCGGCGGGTTGATGGATAGTTGGTGCGTGTCTCTGGCATTTGTCAGCATCTTTGAGAAAACTTCTCGCAATCTTTGACCATTGTCGGCCAAAAATATCCGTGGCGCTTGATCTTTATGGCCAAGGCTCTCCCGCCAGAGTGATTCCCACAAGATCCGCCGTGTATTTCTTCCATGACTCTCCGAGCTTCGTTCCCTTGACACAGATTAGCAAGGGTCCGGAAAACCGCCATTTAAAGAGTTCTCCGTCGATCAGGGTATACCGAGCCGCTTTCGTTTTAAGCTTCCGAGCTGCCCATTTTTCAGTAGGGACTTCTCCATCGGCTATGTAACTCCGGATGGCTCCGATCCATTTGGTATCGCTCCCATACTCGGGCTCAATTGTGTCTGTAGTCTGTTGGTCTGGCAGTTTCGGTGTCCATCTCCTCCGGTTCTTCCGTTTCCCGAGCTGTTAGTACTTGATCTTCGCTACTGTCTTCGATGCTCGGCTTTTCGATGAACTCTACCGGTATGATCCTCTTCAGGTTTGGATCGGAGGTCGAAGCTAGAGCTGCTAAGGCATCCGCCGATGTGTTCTCGCCTCGCGGGATTCTGGTTAACTCGAACTCTCCGAACTGTTTTGCCAGGTCTTGTGTGAGAGCCAGATATGCTTCCATTCGTTCATCCCGAGCCACGTACTCTCCGTTAAATTGGTTGGCCACGAGCTGGGAAGTCGCAGAAGGCTCGTAGCTTGTTGATCTTAAGTCCCCGAGCCAGCTTTAGTCCGGCTATCAGCGCTTCGTATTCCGCCACGTTGTTAGTTGCGTCAAAGTTTAGCCGGAAAGATTGCTCAAGGATTTCACCTTCTGGTGACGCCAAGCGGATCCCGACGCCAGAACCTTGTTTTGAGGACGAACCGTCAACGTGGAGGATCCAGACGGCATCGGGTGACTCTTCTCGGGCGTTCTCTGTTGGTAGCTCGATGATAAAATCGGCCAGGACTTGACATTTCGCGCATGTTTTGTTCCTGTATTCGATGTCATACTCGCTGAGTTCTACTGCCCACTTGGCCAGGCGTCCCGATTGGCTCGGACTATGCAGGATGGTTCGAAGTGATACGGGCGCCATGACGACAATTGAGTGAGATTGGAAATACGGCCGTAGCTTCCGAGCTGACATTACTACGGCGAGGGCGAGCTTTTCAGTTTGCGGGTAGCGTGTTTCCGCGTCGGTGAAAGTTTGCGAGACATAAAATATCGGTTTCTGTTCTCCTCTGTCTTCTCTAACGATGACTCCGCTTATTGCTGTATCTGAGACGGCGATGTACAGAAATAACGGCTCGCCCGGGACTGGTTTTGCCAACACCGGTGGATTAGCCAAATACTTCTTCAGTTCCTGGAAAGCTTCTTCGCAGCGATCGGTCCATTCGAATTTCTTGTTCCCGCGCAGAGTATCGTAGAAAGCCAGGCATTTGTCTGTTGATCGCGAGATGAATCGGTTCAGGGCTGCGACTCTCCCGGTGAGACGTTGAACTTCGCGTTTGTTTTGTGGCGAGGGCATGTTCAGTAGAGCATCAATTTGCTTCGGATTTGCTTCGATGCCTCGGTGAGTTACAAGATATCCCAGAAATTCGCCCTGATTTTACCGCGAAACGACACTTTTGCCGGGTTGAGCTTCATGTTATGCTGATTAAGTTGTCGAAAGCAGTCGCGTAGATGGGCTATATGGTCGTTTTCTTCGAGGGATTTGACTAGCATGTCATCGATGTAGACTTCCATCGTCTTCCCGAGCTGCTCGGAGAACATCTGTTAACGAGCCGTTGATACGTTGCGCCAGCAGTTCTTGAGTCCGAAGGGCATGACCTTGTAACAGTAGATACCTCGGTCTGTGATAAACGCTGTTTCTCGCGATCATCGGGGTGCATGAAAATCTGGTTGTATCCCGCGAAAGCATCCATGAACGATAGTAACTTGTTCCCCGCGGTTGCTTCCACTAAGCGATCGATGTGTGGGAGCGGAAAACTATCTTTAGGGCAAGCTTTGTTCAGATCGGTGAAGTCGACGCAAACTCTCCACTTGCCGTTCTTCTTTTTAACCACGACAGGATTCGCCAACCAGTCCGGGTATCTTGCTTCGGAGATCGAGCCGATCTTCAGGAGCTTTTTCTACTTCGGCGTTCACGGCATCTGCGCGATCCCGACCCAATTTTCTTCGCTTCTGCTTGATGGGCTTGAAAGACGGGTCAACATTCAGCTCGTGGCAGATTACGTCGATGCTTACCCCAGGTAGATCTTCAGCTGACCAGGCGAAGGTGTTGATGTTCTCTTTGAGGAATGAGATGAGCTCGGTCTTGATTTCCTCGGTTAAGTCGCTGCCAATTTCCACGCATCGTTCAGGCCGTTCGTCGTCGAGGCAAATGGAGATTACAGGATCCGAGGTAGGCTTCTTCTCCTCGCGCTGCCTCCTCGATCTGTAATTGCTATAACTGTTTAGATATAGCCTTCTCTTCACTTCGGCCAAGTTTTGATTTCTTGTGATCGGTTTCAGCCTTCGCTTCGGTGACAGGGTTTCGGAGTTTATGCGCTGCCATGTAACACATCCGTGAATTTTTCTGGCTGCCCCAGATTGTTTTCACGCCACTGGGGTCGGGAACTTGACACAGAGGTGATAGGTCGATGCGACAGCTCGCATCAGATTTAGCCACGGCGTGCCCATTATAACGTTGTAGATGGTAGGTTGATCGGTGACTGAGAAGTTGACTACCTTTGTCACCCCGCCGGCTCGGACTGGTAATTGAATGGTTCCGAGCGTCATCAAAGTTTCCCCCGAAAATCCGAGGACAGGCCTCGGGGTCGGTGTTACCTGTGACATATCAATGTTCATTTGTCGGAGCGTTTCACGGAAAATCACGTCGATGGTGCTACCGGTGTCGATCAATATTCGGCAAACGTCATGATCTCCTATTGCTAACGTGATGACGAGGGGATCGTTGTGAGGCATGTCGAGCCCGTTCGTCTCACTTTCCTCGAATGTGACTATGTCGTTAGGTCGGTCGAAGGGTCTCGTCCAGTTGCTAGGCGCCTCGGCTCGGCGTTGATACGCCTTGATTGCGGCTACGGTATCAGGACAGTACGGCGATCCACCCATTATGGTGAAGATTTTTTGCCGTGTATTATCTCGGTCTTCGTCTTGATTTTCCCGAGTTCTCTTCGGGGCGTTCGTGTTCCTTGGCTCGGGGTCCCCTGTGGCGTTGGCCTGCTCGGGCTGATCCGGCTCTGGCTCCAGGTCCTTGAGCGTGACGTTCGTCCCGAGCTCTCCTGCTAAGAATTTCGTTGCTAATTTAGCGCCGAGGCTCCGGCATCGTGAGGTGTGGTGGCCGAAGATTTTGTGGTGCTCGCAGTATTCTTGATCGTTGCTCGGTGGCTGATCTCTTGTCCAAGTGTAGGTTTCTCTTCCTCGCCCACGACCTCGGCCTCTGCCGCGACCTCGGCCACGAGGAGTGTCAATCTGGTAGTTGTGAGCTCCCTTAAAATTGCGTCCTTCATGATGTGTATACGTCCCGCTCTCGCGAGCCTTCTTCTGGACCGGAGGTGTTGCTTGAGTCTTCTCGGCTCGGGGCGTTTGCTTCGTCGGCTCGTGCCTCTTTGCTAGCAGCGCCATCTCTTCTTCATGGGCGACGAAGTCTGAGGCTCGGTGCAGCGCGTCGCGGATTGTCGTAGGTTTAGATAGGTTCAGCTCTTTTCTGAACTCGGACTTGTACCAGAGAGCTTTCTTCAGGGCCGAAAGGGCGGCTACGTCGGTGATTCCTTCAACCTTGGCTAGCGTTGATTTGAAGGTCGTGAGGAAATCTCTTAAGCGGCTCGGTGGCTGTTGAGACAGAGACCACAGATCTGCGTCGGAGGTTCCGGGGTCGATGAGCACGGAGTATTGCTTGAGGAAGAGTGTTGACAGCTCGTCGAAACTGTCAATCGAGTTTCGTTCCAACCTTGAAAACCACTCTAATGCGGGTCCTTTGAGGTGCTCCACGAACAGTAGGCATAGACCGGCGTCCTTCTGTCCGGGCTTGAATCTGGCTCGGGCCACAGATATCACGAACGACTTAATATGACACTTTGGGTCGGTTGTCCCGTTGTAGGTGTCGATTTTGAACTTTCCCAGATTGGACATCGTCGTCTCGGAAATTCTTTTGGTGAAAGGCGTATTCCGAGATTCTTCCAAAATTCGGTCGATGTTAGGTGCGGAGGATGAAACGCTATGTATCTGGGTTTTGACGAGCTTCATATCAGGCTTCCGCCTTGGCTAGGGAGGCTCGGATCTTGCTGAGCTCGTCTTCTCTTTCGGATTTCTTCGGCCCATCTTATGTTTTCTTCAGTTTCCTCGTCATCAGTGAGGTCGGGTTCGTTCGTCAGAGTTAGCTCCAGCTCGGGTACGCTCGTTTTGTGGATCGTCCGGTTCGTCTGTCGGGTCCACTGCGTCTGGCTCGGTGGGATCATCCTGATCCTCGCGTCTGGCAGGATCGGCTCGGGTTGCAGCTCTGGTGTTATCCTGTCGGCGTCGCGAACGTGAGTCTCGTCGGGTTGAGGCCAGGTAAGTCCCTCCGGGCTCGTGGCGGTCGAGTCTGGAAACGCGTGGTTTTGTGTTTGCCCACGGGATGCGATTTCATCGATTTGCAGCGCCAAGGTCTTGTTAGCTTTCTCTTGATCGTCAGCTTTTCTTCTGGAATTTAACCATCATATCCTTCAGTTCGGCTAGGGTCGCTCGAGATTGCTGGATCGGCTTGAGGGTTCGGAGGGTTAGGATTTGCCTCCTCCGGCTGGTGGTGGTATCTGACGACCGTCCTCGTTAATCGTCTTTTTCGTGAGTTGAGTTCTGCGTTCTTTAGGGTAAGAGAATTCTAAGTATCCCCACAGACGGCGCCAACTGTGGAAGTCGAAACTAACACCATCAAGATTTGTCTAGGGTTTATTTTAGGGATACGATAAACGTGAATTCTCAAAGAACAACAGAGAAACAATTGTAACCAAGATGGTGTTCTTGATCTTATTAATGAAAAGAATAGCTTTGATCGTACAAGAGTTTGATCGTAAAAGAAAAAGGTGTTTGTGCTGTAAGAGCTTTGTGTAGTATAAATTCTAGAGCGATCTGCTTTGCCCTTCTTGTGAGCCTTGAGTCTCTTTATATAGGGGTGATAAACCGCCTCTCTAGCGATATTCTCGGAAGATTTCCATTATCTTAAGTCGGCTTAGAATATCGCAGATAAGGATACTTTCCTATTCTTCGGAGTCTTTGGAAGATTTCCTGAGTTGAGGTGATCCCTTCGAGATTCTCCTTAATCATTTCCGAGTATTTCAGAAATGATCCCTTTTGGCGGAAATGATGTTAAGATATTTCAAAGGTATTTATTCACTAAGTCTTTACTTCGGGTGATGAAGAGGACTTCCACCTCGGGTGATTGTGAACTTCACTTCGGGGTGACTGATGACTTTGCCTCGGGTGGCTTGGAGGCTGCCTGGTGACGATCGGTGTGTTTTGCTCGGGGCAGGATGACGAGGCGCCGAGGAGATCGGCTCGGGTACCTGAGACGACTAGGGTCGGGTACCCCGAGGTGACTGAGCTCGGGTACCCCCGAGGCGACGGGCCCGGGTACCCCCGAGGCGACGGGCTCGGGTACCCTAAACTGATTAGATGGATAACCCGAGGTGGATGATGTGATGCCCCGAGGTGATCTCTGAAACGTCCCCGAGGTGCTCTAAGTCTGGCTCGGCGCCAAAGGGTGGAATCCGACCCCAACAATGTAAATCGAATGGAGTTATTTAGGTGGTTTTATTTAATTCTTGGGACACTAATTTTATGATAAAATTTTATCTCTGTAAAAAAACTGTTTTTATTTTGTTCTTTTCCGTTTGTTCAGTCTCTATATTGAAAGAAACAAAAAGCCTCTCTGTAGTATTTTTCTTCTTCATGATAAAATTCATTTGATTTTTCTTTCTTTGAAATCCGATAAATCTCCTTGGCAGAATTAAGTACTTTTCAAAATTTGCAATAAAAAAAGGTTGAATATTTTTGTAATTAGATCATATATTTGTCCTTTCCGGACATCCAATAAAATTGGAACGATACACATCATATATTAAAATAGTCTTCAATCATATATTGAGACAAGCATAATGGTATATGTTCTCTTCTTTTGTCTTCATCCTCCAACAACTTCGGTGGCTCCAATAGCGAGACGAATGAGCTTATCCATACGCAATGTCATCTCCATGAGACTCTTCGAAGTCAAGTCTTTGTTTTTCCCGATCAATTTCTGCACTAGGGTTGTTTGGTCGAAACAAACCATAGCATCATAGTTAGCGGTTTCTGGAGATATCTTGAGTTCTGAAGCAGCACTCTTGAGAGACATTACTATAAGAAAGTAGGCATCTCGGCACGCCTTGAACTGTTCCTTCAGAGCCGGTACCTTTTCTGCTGCTCTGTCTGCAGATTTCACCAACAACTTGGCATAGGGTATGTCAATGCCGCGGATCACGACTTCCGCAAGTGGGAGCTGTAGATTAAGAGATATAGTTTTTAAACTGGAATGTGCATATTATTGCTAAATATTTGATACTAAGAACGAGTCAAAAACATAATTGCCATTGTGATCACTATAGTATATCTAATTTAAATTGTTAAGCTGTGATAATTGTTTCACAACTTTTTAACATTTCACGACATTCATCATTCATAAATTTGATTTTGCTATATATTATGCACATGTTTACATAAAGATGATACATAAAATATAAGTTCGAAAATTCAATTAACAAACCCCTACTTGTAAACGTATGATATAAAACATAAAATTACAATATGCTATGCAAAAATTAAATATTTTAGTCAAAAAAAGAAAAGAAAACTAATTTAAGTTGGATATGTGGGTTTGATATTAATACCAAGCCAGTGGCAGAAGCGGCAAGAGGATATGCGCTCAACGTTTGCAAACAAAAGGCTTTGTCGTCGATGGATGGCATCTCGCATAATTTATCGATGTATTTGTGGAGTTCAAGGTCGAAGATGAAACTACGAGAAATTGTAACAAAAAAGCCACTTGAAGAACGAAGAAACAATCAGAGAAAGAAACCATTTCCTCTACTACTTGTATACAAATTGTGAATTTACTTTTTGATGTTCTTTCATTTACTTTATACCTTGCAAGCGATTGACAGAAATTTTTGTTATCATGATTTGTTAGCATCTATAGTAACAAAAGAAATCTGACCAATATCTATTTTTCCTCATTATTTAGCATCTATAGTAAAGAAAGAAATCTGACCAATATCTATTTTTCCTCATTATTTAGCATCAATAGTAAAGAAACAATTCAGCAAAAAAAGTTTCATAATAATTCTCTAAATGGGTTGATAATACTCAAAAAATCAAACTACTATGGGCCCATATATCTTTTCTAAACAAAAAATGTATATATTATTATTTAAGTTTTTATATCACCAATTGAAACGACCAGCAGCTGGATTTGATTTTTTTTTTTTTGTTGGCCATTTGATTTCATTGATAAAGCCCAAAAGGGCAGATTACAGAAGATCCAACACAGAGGATTACAAACGAAATAACAGCCCATGCCCAAAACTAAATCATACTTTAATAAAAGATAAATATTAATGCGAATATGATTTAGCTGTTGACACGTGTGGAAGACGTGTTCTTCCCAACACTACACGTCAAGTCATCGAGCACCACCGTCAATTTCGTCGAACACCGCTGAAATTCCGATTAGCCACCACCGATCAACCTTGGAGCAATGAGAATCCTCCTCCCTATGACCGATCTAAAATCCAAGCCAAAAGCGTCGAGAATCTTCCGGATCGAATAAAAGAAAACCGCTTCGAATTTCTCTGAGCAACACCAACTCCGGAGAAGCCCCACCACTGACCATACCCAAACTCCATGTAGTCTGATCTTTGCTCCTACTTCATGAACTGACCACACCCAAACTCTATGTAGTCTGATCTTTGCTCCTACTTCATGAGCAAAAAGAAGAGACGAAGATATTACTTTTCGAAAAGATTAGAGGGATCATATAGGATTTTGAAGAAAACAGAGACATCGACGGGCACAATTGGAAAAGAGATCAATCTTGCTAGAGCGAGAAACAAAACCCGACGAATTTCGGTAGCGAGAATCCAATATAAAACTCGAAATTATTTAACTCGTACATAGACGAGAGTTAATACAACTCCGGACAAATCCGGAATAAAAAACCGACCGACAGTAAGCTTCTCCACTCTGAAAGATTTTAGAGAGAGAAGAGAGGAGAAGCCTTAACTTTTTTACCTTGGATTTGATTAATACACCAAAAAGAAATTCCAAACGGAAAACCTTAGCTATCTCGAATAATTATTAAAAATATATAAATATAAAATAACAATTATATAAATAAATAGATCAATAAAAACTGAGTTTGGAGCCGTTTTTCTCCGAAGATTTCTTTCATTGGGAGTTAGATTCCAACGTGATCATGGAGTTCAAGAGGAGAGAAGCCGTCGTTATGGACGGTTTTTGCCATAAGAAGTTTTGATTGATTTTTTATTATTATTGATTTCGTTATTTTTCATAAATTTTTATTTTCAATTTTATACATTATTAAATAATTATGAGATGTGACTAAGAGTATTTCTAAATTTTTCATTATTTGTGAAATTGAGTGTGTAAAATCAATGAAATTTTGCTAATTATATTGAATTTTTTTATTAGGTGGTATATTTTCGGAAAATATATATAATTTGTGTTTTTCTATTATAGAAAATTTTTCTAAGATATTTATTTGGGTTATTTGCCTCAAAAGAAAATATGATAAAACAGGTTATTTGTATATCCTAGATAAAGCTTATCTTGTATATAGATGTTAAGTATGGGAAAATGTATGTAGAAGAAAGAATTAAGTTTAATATGGCTATAATAGATAAAGCTTATCTTGTATATCGATGTTAAGTATGAGCAAATGAATGTACCAGGAAGAATTAAGTTTAAGGATGGATGGAGCTAAGAGTCATGATGACTTAACTTTATCTAGCTGATCACACTCAATGTTTAGAGCTATGAGTCACTCAGGATGGTCAATTTTTTTAGGGAGATTTACTCAGATGTTATACATTTTATATGAAATTACCAGAAACATACAGATCTTTTTTTTATTACTATCATATTTCGGGTATATTTTTTATACCCAGCGTGCCCCTGTTAAACGTTACAGGAAAAAACGTAATTACAAAGAATGCCACTGCCACGTCAGCAAAGCCGCGTCGCCACGTCAGAAATCGCTGACGTGTATTAATGAACTCAGCCGTCGAGCGATATAGCGGCAGTGACGGCTGAGTTACGGTATGTTACGGCTGATTTAAGAAAAATGGCTGAGTTATGAGCAAACGGCTAACTACGAGTATAACCCAGCCTGAGTTACGGCTGACTTACTGAAATCTGTCTGAGTTATGATAAAATGGCTGACTTTCGAGCATAACCCAGCCTAAGTTACGGCTGAGTTTTCACCCGATGGTTGATTTGTCAAATTTTTGGCTGAGTTATTGCTTCGACACGGCTGACTTAACTTTCTCGGCTGGGTGAGTTATCAAAGACGGCTTAGTTATGGGATGACGTTACGGCTGATTTATGTTTGAGTATCATAAATCAGCCGTAATGAGCTGGATTAACGGAAAACTCGGCCTTATTATGGCTGACTTAGTAGCGAAAGATTAATTACTAGAATAGCATGCAATGACGGCCGACTTATTAAACGACACGACTGAGTTAAATATTTTGGTTGAGTTACGACAGTAAACGGCTGAATTTGGCTGCCGTTTTTTCGTTTTTTAATTACTGTAATAGTATTCATGTTGCGGCTGAGTTAAAGTTTTGTTTGATGGCTGGTTTAATTAAGCTGATTTACATTTTCGTTTGGTGGCTTACTTGCCACTTCATCAATTAAAAAATGACGTGGATGCAACATTCCATGTCATCATCATCAAAGGACAAAAAAATAGGGCCAAATTTTTTTCAACTCGTCTTCTTCACCTGAGTTTATCACATCACCGGAACTTCCAATTCCTCATCGTCTTCCTCATTCTTCTTCAATTTCTTTCATCCTTCTCCCGATATGGTTGATCCGGTTCCGGTAATTGGGTATAAAAACACAAATACGTATTTAACACCGATGAAAGAGGGTGTAGAGTTGTGCAGATAGATGCGAAAACAACGCACGAAAAACTTGTGAAGTTGGTGCTCGATGATAAAGTTAGAGGAAATGTTGCGTCTCTTATTGTTTCGCTGCAAATTTACATGTCACGGCTGAGTTATATGCTTAAGGGAAGACGAAAGGCTCGGTCAATTTACATGTCACGGCTGAGTTATATGTTCCAGGGAAGACGAAAGGTTCGGTAAAATTACATTACGGCTGAGTTATATGCTTAAGGAAGACGAAAAGTTTGGTCAATTTACATGTCACAGCTGAGTTATATGTTCCAGGGAAGACGAAAGGTTTGGTAAAATTACATTACGGCTGAGTTATATGTTTAAGGGAAGACGAAAGGTTCGGTAAATTTACATGTCACGGCTGAGTTATATTCTCCAGGGAAGACGATAGATGGGTGTAAATTATATGTTACGGGTGAGTTATATGCTTTAGGGAAGACGAAAGGTTCGGTAAATTACATGTCACGGCTGAGTTATCATTCAGGGAAGACGAAAGGTTGTGTTAATTATATGTTACGGCTGAGTTACATCACGTTACGGCTGAGTTACATCACGTTACGGCTGAGTTACATCACTTACGGCTGATTTATAATACAGATCGGAAAACAACATTTTTTTGGAGAAGACAATATGAAATTTATTGGTCAAATAACAACAATCAAATTAAGATTCGTAAAAATATGTTTGAGGGATACATAGGAGGAAGACTAAACCGTATGAATCAAAACATAGATAGAAGTAGAAATGTCTCCAAATAGATCGATTGAGAGGAAGATTAAACGAGAGACATGTAAAATCAAAGTAAAAGAGTAGCTATTCTTGATTTCAACTCAAACCTGTAACGAATCATGTAGAATTCCATAGATCTCTTTGTTTTGGGTTTTGATTTTTGATGACTTTTTTCGTGAGCGTGGTTGCGAGTAGATCTGACGAAGCTTTTGATTTGGGACCCTATGGCAAGCGTTGTGGCTGTGAGGTCTAGGAAGATCCAGCCCAATCCTGCAATTTGAAGATCTCTGTCAATGTTGTACCCAAGTTAGTTGCAGATTATTAGATCTAAAAGCTTTTCTTGGATTTGGAGACAAAAAAAAGAGAAGAGGAGAAATGATCTAAAAGCTTTTCTTGGATTTGGAGACAAAACAAAAGAAGAGGAGAAATAACGTGAGTTTGAAGAGTGTGAGATTGGTGATGTGGATAATGACATGGATAATCAAATTTTTATTTATTATTTTTAATTAAAAACGAATTAAAAATTATTAATTAAAAAAACTAATGAAGGGTGTTAATTGTAATTACACAAATGCTCAAAACATATGAGTAATTTTTAGAAAATGTATGATATTCTAGTAATATTCGAACTTTTGGTTAACATCTGAGTAAATATTTCATTTTTTATTAGAGTTCATATCATGATGGTTGGACTTATAATGGAATGGCATGTATGTTATAGCATGTTTTTCTTTTTTTTCTTATCAAATTGTTATAGCTTGTTATGATATATGATTGCTAGAAGTATATCACAAAACGGGTTATTTGCATATAATAGGTAAAGTTTATCTTGTATATGATGTTAATTAAGTATAAGATGGGTGGAATTACGAGTCACGATGACTAGATTTTATGTAGGAGTTTAAAGTCAGGATGATCAGGTTCGATGTTTGGATCTATGAGTCACTCATGATGGTCAAACTTTTTATTAGGCATATATCAAGAACATTATTGGACTTAGAATGGAATGCCCATGTATGCTATATAGCTTGTCATGCTATATGATTTCTAGAAGTTTGTGTATTTTGATGATAGTTTTATAGCTTTTAAATATGTCTATGTTTTAGTCAGTTGGAACTGTCAAGGGTTGAGGAGCAACCTGACAGTTCACCGGCTCAAAGAGATACACCGCACTATCTCTCCGGATA